TATCACCCTCATACACCCTACCACCAAGACCTCACACTCCCCTCTCGTTCCCCTTCCCACACTCCGAGTCCCCCCCCCCCCCCCGGTGAGTCACAAGGACACTGACCTGTCATCAAGTGACGCACAAGCATTGTTCTTATGATTTATGTACACGGCGTAGTAAGCAGGGTCACTCACCTTCCCGCTGTCCTCACCCACGCCCACGCCGCCCACGGTGACACCCTTACCCACGCCTGACACCCTCACAACACCCCTCCCTCCCTCCCCCTATCGGCTACACCCTCGTGTTCCGTGTAAACACTTTCAGACACCGTACTACCAAGTACTGGTGAGGTGATGTCACACTACGGGACGAGTGAGAGTCATCTAGTGAGGTGATGTCACTCTACGGGACGAGTGAGAGTCATCTAGTGAGGTGATGTCACACTACGGGACGAGTGAGAGTCATCTAGTGAGGTGATGTCACTCTACGGGACGAGTGAGAGCCATCTAGTGAGGTGATGTCACACTACAGGGCCATCTGGAGGTGAATTTTTAAATTGGAGGTGAGACGCCTTACTCCTGACAGCCAACTCGTGAGTCATCAAACATTTACGCAACCACTTACGAAACCTTTACATCTATCCTCACTCATGGCGGCTTTGTTTATATTTATTAAACATTTCAAGGGCTCCTAAGCACTATGTAGATACACACAGAAATCAGAATAGCGTGATATATCAAATGAATAAATCCACAAGGGCCGTGATGAGGGTTCGAACTTTAGTTCAGAATGATCCCAGACGCGCCTTAATCGACTGAGCCAGGACATGGTAAAAAGAATTGCAACCGGGATTGCTACTCCTCTCACACGGATCCCGCAGTTCTTTTTATCACGAAGTTCGAACCCTCATCACGGCCCTTGTGGATTTATTCTCTACGTAGATGACTGCAACAATAATAACCTTGAGTTGTGGAGTTCCAAGATCGTAAACTATCTAATGAAAGTAAACAAACTGGCCATAATTAAGGAAATATGAACAAGATTCGTAAGTAGTTGCGCAAATGCTTGATGCATCGAGGCCCAGTACAAAAGGTCCTCCTAGCCAAGGACGAGACTGTATCTGCGCGGACACCCACCCAGTTGCTAGCCAGAATATACTGTTTAAGAAGACTGTCACAGAGATGTACACATCATCCACCTCCAGGTGAAGCAGCGCCGCTAAATCCACCTAAACCTGACATAATGTGTGCAGCGTATACAGAGGGTTAGTGTAGACAGCAGCAGACGTATGTCTGACGTTCGCTAACCAGCCGTTACGGGAAGCAGACTATCGCCGGACGCACTGCCTGCGAGTGCCATCTAGTGAGGTGATGCGGCACTAACTCACCTGCCGACATTGACCTTGACGCATCAACATCTGTGCATACATTACCTGCCAGGTTATTCCCCTCTGCTTCACCCCCTTCCTCTCTCCATTATCCTCGACCCTCTCTCACTTCCTCCCTCCATTCATTCACCCCTTCCTCCCTCTCACTACCCCTCATCTCTCTCCCTCCCTCCACCTTCCCCTCTATATTTTACCCTCCCAAAAGAAATATGAATTAGAAGCTGTATTGAAGAAATTGATACAGTTCTGGCTGTAACCAACAGGTGTTCAGCTGTGTAAATTAAGCTAGACTTCGCAGACATATTAATATACATCTGGCTTACAAGTGGTGATATATATTAGTAAAACACTGTAGTAGTAATGACAATAAAAGTAGTACAAATAACAGAATAAAGATTATAAAGTGTGCAATACCCGACAACCGTTCTATCAACAAACGAGTGCGCCGAATACTGGCACTAGGAGTAGCAAAACAGAGAATCAAAATCCAGGCTCTAGTCCGGCCGCATCTGGAATATCCTCCAGTACCACCTTAAGATCAATAAACAAACTACAAGCGGTGACATCTCAGGCACTAAGAATAGCAGCAATCCTCCATCCAACACGTGACCAAACAATCCAGGAGCTCCACGAATCCCTGAACTTACAAGCACTGATCACATGAACATGTAGGTACAGCAGCGAACCACCAGATATGGAAGGCGATCGAAATGGCAAAAGACCCAATACCAGAAGACTGGTATGTTAAAGACCCAATGCCAAAAAGACCGGTATGTTAAAGACCCAATACCAGAAAGACTGGTATGTTAAAAACCCAATACCAGAAAGACTGGTATGTTAAAGACCCAATACCAGAAAGACTGGTATGTTAAAGACCCAATACCAGAAAGACTGGTATGTTAAAAACCCAATACCAGAAAGACTGGTATGTTAAACACCCAATACCAGAAAGACTAGTATGTTAAACACCCAATACCAGAAAGACCGGTATGTTAAAGACCCAATACCAGAAAGACCAGTATGTTAAAGACCCAATACCAGAAAGACCGGTACGTTAAAGACCCAATACCAGAAATACTAGTATGTTAAAGACCCAATACCAGAAAGACCGGTATGTTAAAAACCCAATACCAGAAAGACCAGTATGTTAAAGACCCAATACCAGAAAGACCGGTACGTTAAAGACCCAATACCAGAAAGACTAGTATGTTAAAGACCCAATACCAGAAAGACCAGTATGTTAAAGACCCAATACCAGAAAGACCGGTATGTTAAAAACCCAATACCAGAAAGACCAGTATGTTAAAGACCCAATACCAGAAAGACCAGTATGTTAAAGACCCAATACCAGAAAGACTAGTATGTTAAAGACCCAATACCAGAAAGACCGGTATGTTAAAGGCCCAATACCAGAAATACTAGTATGTTAAAGACCCAATACCAGAAAGATCGGTACGTTAAAGACCCAATACCAGAAAGACTAGTATGTTAAAGACCCAATACCGGAAAGACCGGTATGTTAACATACATCTAAAGGAACATACAATCACTCACTAAGCTTTGTTGAGCTACCATAGACACACACACACACTAGGTGAGTACACAGGGGGCCTCACGGCTGAGTGGATATCGCCCGGGGGTCGTAGTCCTGAGGGCCCGGGTTTGATTCCCGGCCGAGATAGAAACAAAGTTTCTTTCACCATGATGTTCCTGTTCACCTAACAGTAAATAGGTACCTGCGAGTTAGACAGCTACTACGGAGTGCTTCCTGGGGATGTGTGTATTCACCTAGTTGTGCTTCCGGGGGTTGAGCTCTGGCTCTTTCGGCCCGCCTCTTAACTGTCAATCAATTAATCAACCGTTTTTTTCACACACACACACACACACACACACACACACACACACACACACACACACACACACACACACACACACACACACACACACACACAGCTGTTTAACTGCCAGGCACCTATTTACTGCTAGGTAACATCGGTATCAGGGTGAAGGAAACTGCCCATTTATTTCCGCCGGCGTCCGGAATCGAACCCCGGTCCAGAGGACTACGTATCCAGAGTGCTGTCCACTCAGCCACCAGGCGTCCACCAGGTGTGTGTGTGCGCGTGTGTTAAGAGAGAAATATATGTAGTAGATATAATAGAGGAAAATAGATTGGTTAGAAAAGCGGGATCCAAGAGCTGAAAGAGCTTGATTTTGCAGACATAAATAGTAAATATACGTCAGTAAAGTGGACAACCCGCCTACTGTCATAATTAACACTATATTCCACAGATTACCCTTTGCCACAGGAAGGAAAAGCTCCTCCCTCGACCTTGTGGGGCACTTACCCTACAGGAACCACGGTGGAAAATTGGGTGAGGCTAACTCAAAGCGTCTGGCCTCCAACCTCTAAAAGACATTCCAATTTATAGTTACAGATATTTCCATATCACGCGTGCTTTTCTTCGTACCTAGATATTCATCAGATAGTTGACACCACGCTGGGGTGATGGGGAAGGTCTCCAGGGAGACAGAAAGGGAGGGATAGGTAGCGAAGAGAGGATGGGGAGAGGGAGTAATTGACTGAGGGATCGGTGGGGGGAATTGGTCGAGGTGCAAGAGTTCTCTTGTACCCAGCGGGTTTTCTTCCTATTGGGGAGTGTTGTACATGCTGCTATGGCGGTATGTCCACTCGCAGGATGAGTGGCGCTGCCCAATACTGTCACTATGGCGGTATGTCCACTCGCAGGATGAGTGGCGCTGCCCAATACTGTCACTATGGCGGTGTGTCCACTCACAGGATGAGTGGCGCTGCCCAATACTGTCACTATGGCGGTATGTCCACTCGCAGGATGAGTGGCGCTGCCCAATAAATTCGCCCCTCGGGCCAAAATTTAAATTAAAAAAATTCTTGTTGGTAGTGAGAAAGAGGGATTAAGGTAGCGTTTGCCAGAGTGAGGAGGCAAGTGCAGGGGGATGGGAGAAGGGGGAATAGATGTGGGTGGGGAAAGTGAGCAGGAATGGATGGGAGGAGCGGGGGGGGGGTAAAGTGGGAAGTGTTGGAAAATGATGGGGAATGAGAGAGAGGGTGAGAAAGTGGGGTGACTTTTTTTTCTGTGCGTGAATCGATGTCATTCTTGTTTACTGGCGCTTGGAGTGGGAGGGTTAATATATTACCTGCTGGTATTTGGGCCGAGTGCCTCACGGTGGCGAGTAAATTACTGAAACGCTTTATAGCATATTCCAAGACACCAATCCAGGTGGAACAAGTTTCGAATCCTATAAAATAAATCTCGAGGGATCCACGCATATTGAAATCGGACAAATAGCGCGAGAGAATGAGTGCCTCAATATTAACATTTCAACACGTTTTAAATATCAATCCACAAAAAAATAATTACAAACTTCGTTATAATAAACAGTATAAAGTTTAAAGGGTCCATAATTTTGAGATATGGGGAGAGGGGGGCGTCGTGTACCTCCTGTATTAACTGAGGTATTTGGATCCTTGGTGTTGTCTAGTGTAAATAATTCATTAATGTCTATTTCCGAGAATCGCCTGGAGTACTTTTGTTTGTTTACAGGCCAGAAAAGCGGAACTCGGGATGATGGTTCCACCCACGAACTGACTTGTTTTTAACATACATAGAGACATTGGTATTAATGCTTGAGCGATGCTTGGTGTCGTCGGCTGCCATGGAGACCTTGCAGGTGACGTTGCTAGATCACGTGTTGCGTGTTTAAACATGTGACTGTGGGGGGGGGGGGCAGCAGGTCACAGCATGTGGCTGTGGGGGGCAGCAGGTCACAGAATGTGGCTGTGGGGGGCAGCAGGTCACAGCATGTGGCTGTGGGGGGCACCAGGTCACAGCATGTGGCTGTGGGAGGCCCCAGGTCACAGCATGTGGCTGTGGGGGGGCACCAGGTCACAGCATGTGGCTGTGGGAGGCCCCAGGTCACAGCATGTGACTGTGGGGGGCAACAGGTCACAGCATGTGGCTGTGGGGGGGCACCAGGTCACAGCATGCGGCTGTGGGGGGGCACCAGGTCACAGCATGTGACTTTGGGAGGCACCAGGTCACAGCGTTTAGTTTTAATGCCTTATCCTAATCCCTAATATATTCTCAAACGTTCCCAAAATTATATAATTTTTAAATTATTTACGTTTATCCGCTAAAATTCTTAAATGTTTAAAAGTTTGAACATATATATGGGAAGCGATCAAGTTGGTACTAGTCCCATGGCGTCGGAGGATGGCACCACCCAGCTGTACTTCCTCCTCCACGGCTAGTATTTCCGCGTGCTGAGTGAGACCTTCCTCCGCCAGCTCCTAGGAGTCCAGGAGCCCCTAGCCAGAGTCGGGGTCCTTCGGGAATTCCTGTCTGCTCTGATACGTCACTAGGATAAGCTCAGACATATGGAGGAGGCTGGAGTTGTCCTGCAGGGAGAACTCCGCAGGATGCCGTCCCTGGTGCCCGTCTGGGACTTCCTGCAGGAGTACCTGAGGAACGTCATGGAACCCTCCTTCCTGGACCTCAGTTGCGCGGCCCTCCAGCCCTTCTCGGCCAAGGCCAAGGACTGCCCAGTCCTCAACCACATCGCCGAGAAGTTTCTGGAAGCTCTGGACCGCGAGACGGATAACCCGCGGGTCTTCCTCTCCACCAGACTGCGCAACATCCGGCGGGTGTTCGGCGGGCCCCCGCCTGCTGACGGAGGCCTGCTGGGGAAACAATACATAGAGATGATGGATAAATATTTATATTATCTAACCAGCAGGCGGTACTGCGCCAAAGTTCAAGACTGCGCAAGAGAAGATCTCCTGCCGAAGGTGTTGGAGTGGCTACGGGACATTTTCGTCACGGTCAGGGAAGACACCGGAGAGGAGGAGAAGGAGGAGGTGATTTGGTGCATCCTGCGAGAGTGCGCCAAGATCCTCCTGCGCTCCTTCAGGAGTGACCCGGAGCCACGCCTGACCGAGGTGGTGGAACGGGCGGTGGAGTTCTACATCAGCAGCGTCAGGCAGGAGGTGGCCGTGCTGACCCCGGCTCCTACCCCCGCGCCACCCACACTTCCCTCCATCCAACACACAGACACAAGTATCCAACATTTCTTCCCCGCCGAAATCTTGGCACACTATAGCAAAGACTTGGTGAGGTGTCAACAGCACACGGCGACACTCCCGGGGCTGGTAACCAGGTACCTCAGAGCGGAGATAGTCTTTCTTCAGGTACACTCTGACACTACAGTCAGGGACATCCCTGTAGCCTACATGGAGCCCTTGCTTGCCAAAATGAATGCTATTGACGATGGTATTGCACTTAAGTGCCTTGAGAGCCTATTCATCGTCCTTAATGAGGATGTAAACACCACTGTGGTAGAACACTGCATTGCTGTGGCAAAGTCCGTCATCGCACGCCTCCACGGCTTGTGGCGCGCTGACCACATCACCTACACACTCATCGATGAGAGAAGACTCATCCTCCTCCAGACCTTCTACATGGAGAAGATTGTCATCCTATACCGCGAGTACATGGCGGGCCATGAACACCCCGGCGGGGATGACATGGGGAATTTCTTTCCCTCTGTCCGGGGTGATAGCGTCCTCCTTCCATCCTCCGGCCAGGCGGACAGTCTCCATCGGCTCCCTTCCGTTGGGGATTGCAAATGCACTCCCCAACGGGATGTATTTGAATAGGTCTGTGTCGAGTATTTCAGATATTTGGACCGTGTGGTGGATCTGCAGGAGAGCGACGACTGGCGGAATTACATGAGGATGAAAAACTTATTCCTGCTCAGTGACGCTTATGAGAACACCTCCAAAGAGACACTCGCTCAAGAGACACTCGCTCAAGAGACAGTTGCCCAAGTTTGACTCCCTGTACACATCTGGTCAGCACAAACCCTATAGTTGGATTTTTTTTCGTTTGGAACACAAAGCTCTGGCAACACTGCTCAGTGTGCAGGGAGTCACCCGTTGGATAGTTCAGGGCCAGAACACGTTACAGGACGATTGTATAACCTATATAAATAAAAATGTAAATCTCCGTTTGTTCAAAATCGCTAATCTCCGAAAGTTCTTCACCGATTGCTTTGAAATTTTGCCACAACGTTCCATTCGCACCCGAGTGGGTTTTTATATGCATATTATATAGATGGCACGTCTGTGACGGGGAAAAAAAAGTTTTTTTTTAAACTGTGTTTTTCATGTAAGGGAAATCTTCGAAACCTGTTCACCGATTGCTTTGAAATTTTGACACAACGTTGCATTCAAATAGGTGCATGTTTTTATATACCTTCTATATACATGCCTTTTTTAGAAAAAACAGCACCATTTGTTGGACGTAAGAGCAACACACGCTGTAATCTCCAAAAATTCTTCACCGATTGCTTTGAAATTTTGACACAACGTTCTAAATTGAATTTTCAAAGATTTCGATTTATTTTCATAGATTTCCATTTATTTTTATAGATTCGATTTATTTTCATAGATTTAAATTTATTTTCATAGATTTCGATTTATTTTCATTTTTTTATTTAATTATTTTGTGTGGAATTGAGCTGTGTTGTTTACCATACTGTTCATTTCGTGAGTATAGTTTATTTTTTATTTTTTTTCATTGTCTTTATTTCGTTTTTTTTACTGTTCAGTGATGGGAACATCAGATCATTTGAAGTTCCCATTTTTCAGAAGGGAACAACAGATCATTTGGGAACGCATAGGACGAGGGAGTGGGGAATGGTGAGGAGGACGAGGAGACAGAGGTGAGTGTAATGGTGGGGAGGACGAGGGGACGTGGAGTGGGGGATGTTGGGGACGAGGGAGTGGAGAATAGTGGAGGAAGACAAGAGAACAGGGAAGTGGAGGGATGGTGGGGAGGACGAGGAGACGGGGGAGTGTGGCATGGTGAGGAAGACGAGGGGACGGGGAAATGGAGAATGGTGGGGAGGACAAGGGGACCGTGGAGTGCCGGGTTGGTGGGGAGGACGAGAGGACGGGGAAGGAGGGAATAGTGGGAAGGACAAGGGGACGGGGGAGGACAAGGGGACAGGGAAGTGGGGGATGGTGGGGAGGACAAGGGGATGGGGGAGAGGGGAATGGTGGGGAGGGCAGAGGGGACAGGAGAAGGTTGCTATGGCTCAGCAATGTGCATGCATTGCTGAGCCACAGCAACGCGTAGCCGGGTACCGCTAGTCAAATAATATATAACAAAAATGTCTTTTAAGACACGATTGAGAATTTGTTCAATGTAATAAATAAATAAATAAATAAATAAATAAATAAATAAATAAATAAATAAATAAAACATATTTATAACATAAGAAAAAGCAGGAGTGGTAGGAGAAGAAAATATGAAAGTGTTCAGTTAGAATTCACAAGGTCTTCTCTGAATACCCTTTATTCTCTTCTCCGAGTCTATGGGTCCCTACAATTACACCAGTGGTACCCATATATTTTAAGACGTTTATAGCGTCTTAAAATGACATTTCTTTACTTCATAAAATAGTGTATTTTTCAAATAGTTTAAAAACGGGTAACTCTCCTACAATAAATATTATCAGATTGTAGGTTACATAACATGTGTCAAAATACCTGTCCAATGTTGCTAAGTCGAGCAACCCTTGGCGAGTGTTGCCAACTGACACTATTGCCAAGACAACTCTCAGACCCTCACCAGGTGTTACCTCATAGTAACGATGGACGCATTGCTTGCTTGGTAACCAATGTCGCAAGTGGTGTCTACACCTGCGACATGGTTACACATAACACTACAGTACTGACTGTGTCCATGTCAATGTTTACTACAGTATTAACTGTATGTGTGTGTGGGTAGGTGAGAGAAGCGTATGAATAGTGAAGATCGTGTGTACTCACCTAATTGTGCTTGCGGGGGTTGAGCTTTGGCTCTTTGGTCCCGCCTCTCAACTGTCAATCAACTGTCAATCAACTGGTGTATAGGTTCCTGAGCCTACTGGGCTCTATCATATCTACACTTGAAACTGTGTATGGAGTCAGCCTCCACCACATTACTGCCTAATGCATTCCATCTGTTAATTACTCTGACACTGAAAAAGTTCTTTCTAACGTCCCTGTGGCTCATGTGGGTGCTCAGTTTCCACCTGTGTCCCCTTGTTCGCGTACCACCAGTGTTAAACAGTTTATCTGTTTGTGTGTATTTGTGTGTGTGTGTTGATACGTCGTTGATGGGGTTCTGGGAGTTCTTCTACTCCCCAAGCCCGGCCCGAGGCCAGGCTCGTGTGTTTGTGCGTGTGTGTTGATACGTCGTTGATGGGGTTCTGGGAGTTCTTCTACTCCCCAAGCCCGGCCCGAGGCCAGGCTCGTGTGTTTGTGTGTGTGTGTTTGGCCTTAAAATTGGTCTTAATACTCACATGGGATTTAATCAGCAGACTTTCGTCAGGTACAACAGCCAATAAAGGCAGCAAGCCGTGTGGTCACTGTTAGGTAAGACGCTCCCCACCACCACGTACACTCTACCCTCCGCTCATCCACACCTACACCATAAATTTATTCGTAACATGGCAATGAAACTTTACAACTGTTGGTACCTCTCATTTCATTTGCCTCAAGGTGACGGTGGTAGGGGCTCGCGCTCCCTCCTCAAGCAGGACGTAAGTGCCTCCCTCCCCTCAAGCTACGAATTCTAATTTTCTCGTTTTATTTAGAAAGAGAGAAAGAGAG